TTTGAACCACGATCCTCAGATTTCAGCCTCCTGAGTAGCTAGGATTACAGGTGTGGGACACCAGTGCCCAGCCATTTTTTTCTTTTACAATGACAAAAACAACTCCAAACTCCACATCTAATTTTCCATCTTCCCATGCAGAGGAGAGCAAACATATTTAGAAAAGATAACAGAATTGCCCTGTAAGTTTTGAACACTTAGAAATATCTGGACATGAACATTTACATATAACTTAAAAATCAAATTGCACAATCTAAAGGAGAAGAAGGGTAAGGTTTACCTTCACTGGAGTCTTTGGAACATTCTGGTTTCTTTGCTTTGCTCTTCTTGAGGGGTGGAGAGAGGCCTTTGTGTTCTAACTCCTCTGGAAACACAAAGATTTCATACATTTTTATTTAAATATTTACCAGCAAAGTTCAAAAGTGTGTTAAAGTTTAAATACGTTTTCCTCTCAGTAAATCTACCCACTCACTGAATCTTAATTACAGATACATATGTCACCATGCTGGAGTTAAACTTTGGCAAGGGACCTGTGTTTTTCCAACTTCCTTAGACTTATACTTAAGGCTTAGGCTACAGCAGGTCTTGTAGACATTTAGTAATTCACACAACAGTTTAATTGGACACAGTGCTTTTTTGTTTAAAGATCTTCCATAAGAGAACTGCACATCATTATGATTATTTTTCCAACAGAGTTTAATTCAAAACTCCATGGATTGACAGCTGTCATTGTGCATCTCATTTTGTTCAGCTTCAAAGCTGGACATAAATGTCACTTATTGAAAGGATGGGGGTGTGGCTTGAAATTATCCTGCCTTTATTTAACAGCCTTCTTTAGTAATTCAAATTGGAAGTAATCACTTATATTCCTAATTCAACTATTGTGTTTCTCATTTTTCAGTATTCTTCCAACTCTATCCAATGGGTTTAGTAAGTAAAATGATGAAGACAGTTTGTAGAAAGTGTCTCTAAATTCATCCCATTCTGATATAGCATACTTTAAATATGCGGTCTAACATTTCTATTGAGTTCAGGGCTTATGTCTTCACCTACTTACATGGAATCTCAATTTTGTTTGGGAATGGATACCTTCTTTGTCCCTTCAGATCTATTCCTCATCCTTCAACACTTCCTTACTGTGCCCCGGGCAACTAGAATCTCTGAACTGCATTAAGAAACTTCTTGGTTCTCTGGTTTCCTATCAAATTCAACCAATGGACAGCTAAGAGAATTTACTTCCTAGACCTTAGTAGCTTTCATGGGCCAATCATGTGCTTCAGGATAAGATTATAGTCCTTGTCCACAGTCCTTCTCCATATGACTTTATGTTTCCTGAGTTCTGTAGCCACGCTTCCGCCATTGTCCCTTCTGGGCTGGGATTTAAGTGTGTCTCTCTTCTCTCTGTCTTAATGCCTTCCCTTCTTCGCTCAGTCCCTATCTCAAGCATTTCAAACAGAACACCAGCCAGAACTTCTGAGTAGCTAGGATTACAGGCATGAGCCACCAGTGCCTAGCTTAGGAATTCTCTTTCAAATATATTATTTGTACCTGAAATTATCTTGCTCTCTTGTTAATTTTTTCCTCTCCTCCTCCTCCTCCTCCTCTTCCTCATCTTTTTCTTTCACTTCCTTTTCTTCTTCCTTTTCGTCTCTCTTCTTTTTCAGTGGTACTGGGATTTGAACTTAGGGACTTAAACTTGCTAGACAAGTACACTACCACTTGAGCAATATCTCCACTGTGTTTCTTGAGTGTCTGTTACCTCTTTCCCCAATTCTTTGACTATAAGCTCCATGAGAAAGGGCACTTGTGCTTTCTTTGTACCCTTGGTGCCTAGCAGTACCATGAGAATTTCATTTAAAAACCCATTTTTATTTTTGCTTCACCCAGGCCTTTCTTGAAGACTAAGATATAATGGGGCCTGTGTCTAATTCTCACTCTCTTAGCAGCTGCTCTCTTGTGCCAAGATTCTAAAATTATACTATGGAGCTATGACGACTCGGTTCTCTTTTCTCATTTATTAGGAAAGGAACAGAAAAAAAAACCTACCACATTTGATAGATGTTCTATTAAAAACCTTGGCATTATAGACTACAAAGGATTGGGGCAGTAGGCTAGATGTTCTATGGTTGCAAGTCAGTCACATCTAAGGTCATTACCATGGCCAGGGTGAGAAATTTTTGCCAGTGACTACATTAGCCACCCCCTCCCAACTTCTGTCACCAGGTGTGAGATGTATGCTGACCTTTGGAATGGGTTCACCCAAAACAGAAATGAGGTATTTGGAATAGCTCACTGAGCACAAATACCAGGCTCAAAAAGATTCATAAAGTGGGCAAAGCAACATTTGCAATCTCACTTGGAGAAGACTCTAAGCCTTTCATGTCCTTGAAATGCATTGTCTAAAATGGGGGTGCCAGCAGAGAATTTCCAGTGCTGAAAATTCAATTCCAAACCAGCATTTAGTTTTAGCAAATTACATTTCTAGTTCTTGACTTTCCACCTGAATGGAAATTCATAGTGAATGTGTGAGATTTTCAAATACATCCATTTGCCTACATTTACAGATATTTGAACACCCCCTAAATGCTCATACTTCATTTTTGAACAGTTGTGAGCATGAATTCATGTTAATTATGAAGTCTTCTAGGACAGGAGTATTGTATTATTTCATGACAACTATAGGCCTGGTCCTGGAGTATTCAGTCACTGATACATATGGCTACTGTATCCAGGTTTCTCTGTGTGGCTTTATAGGAATAGTATTTCCTCTTGGACTAGGTTACTGAAGGGTGAGTTGTTCCTGCTTCCTATCAAAGCACTCCATACTTGTTAGTATTATATTTTATTATATATATAATATTATACACACACACACATATATATATATATATATATATATATATTTAGATAGCTTCTCTTTCTGGCAAAGGGTAGAACCTGGAGCTTTGCCATGAACATGGCTTTTCCCCCTTGAGGAACACAAGCGTGCCTTCACCACTGTTGTGTTGAGTGGCTATAGATAGTTGTTGATTTTATGCCCTTGCTAGCTTAGGTTGGAGCCAATTCCAACAATGCATGGCCCTGTACATAAAAATACTCAGGAAAATAGTTACCATCTGATTAAAGAAGATGAAGGCCACTTCCTTTCATCTCACATGGGACAGAGCTTCACCTTCAGGATGACTTTTTCTAACTCTCCTCTGAGATTCATTATCTACCTCTGTTTACTATATAGGTCTGGAGCAAAAAAGTTAAGACTTTGCCCTGGGGGCCAAATAAATCTGTATTCAAATTCTATATCTACTAGTTAAGAAGAAATCCCTTGTAAGACTTGATGATAATTTGCCCCAGATATCTGTTTTATGTATTCCATTAACTTATGCATAGCAAGAAATTGGCACAAGGCATGTTCAATTAAAGCCTGGTGTGCTGACTTAAGAGAGGTTTTGAGACTCATCTGAGCCAGTACAACTAATTTTACCATCACCCATTTGAAAAAGAACATGGTAGATGTGTTCACACCCCAGAAATCAGTTAGCTCTTTGCATCATGGCTCACATATCCAGAGAGTCAAAGTTCCCAGCATCCATTTGTCTTAGGTATTCAAGTTGTTTTCCACTACCATTTGACAATATTTGGCAGGTTGTTTCACTCAAGTAATCCAGCACTAGTGCATCCTTAAAACTTACATTCTCAAAAATGTCTCTAGCTTTCCTATCTACAAGAGAAGAGATGATGAGGACAGAGATACAATGGCAGTTAGTGGTCTTAGGAGGCTTGTTTAAACTGGAGACCAGCATGTTCCAGTATGAAATCTGAATGAAGCTGTATTTCCTCCCAATACCAACTGGAATGAGAGAGACAGAGAGAAGAGAAGAGGAGCATAGAGGAGAGGAAGAAGAGAAGCAAGAAAAGCAGTAATGTACTGAATCTGTACTGTGGGAAAAGTGATATGAGAAATATTCAAGATAAGGTACCTTACTTATTCAACACCCTAAGCAAAACAATTGATGGGAATTATTGCCTCCAGAAATAGAAAATGAGCTTCACAGAAAAAGACACTTGCTTAAGGCCAATAAATAGTTTAGTTAGTTGAATTCAGGCCTATTGATTAATGAATTCATTTTTAAGAACATATTCACTGGTTACATTAGACCAGTGTCCATGCTTTTAAACCATTAGATTTCCCTTATAAATTCTAATCTTTCTTTAGGAGTTAGCATACAGCTTCCTCTCTGACAGTGAGAAAAAATTACATGCTATGCGAAAGTATACTTTCCAAAAATGACCACCCCTACATTTTAGACCACGCAGACTCTGCAAAACTACTCCTTATCAAGAGACAATTCTTTCCCCTGAATCTGAGTGACTTGTTCTGTGAAAGTGACATTATGGGACTTAAAAGCTTAGATATTAAAAAGGGTACAGCTTCTAAGGTTCATTAATTCTTGTGAGGAAAACTCAGTGGGTCAGCAGGCTATAATGAGTCTCAGGCTATTGAAAGAAGCCACATGGTAGTGTTTTGTAAAATTGTCTCAACAAGTTTCAGCTGATGATGGCTGGAATCAATCACCAGCTAGGCAAATGAATGAACAAGTTTTCATATGACTAGCCCTGGCTGTGGAGACTTCTTGGTAAGCCTCAGACTTCATGGAACAGGATAGTCAAGTTATTTCAGTTTGGTAGTCTGTACTTCATACAGAATGTATGGGAATAAGAGGTTGTTTTAAGTAACAACTGTGGAAATGATTTATTACACAACTTTTAACTATAGCATCCGGTTCCATTTTTACCTTAGCTGTCAGGAAGCCCAGTCTAACTTTATGCTGGGTTATAATGAGATTATTTGCTCACTAATACAACTACTTCCTTATTATATTGATCATGTATTTCTTTCTTCAGAAGACCGTAGTATATATAGTATATACATATGTAGAATATATACATATATAGTACATATACATTATATATGAAAAATAATAAAATCTTAAATTTAGTACCTGAATCTTCTTTCATGTCAACATCTTCTTCTCCATCATTATCATCTATGAGAAACAGGAAAAGATAAATTTCTATAAAAGCTAAGAACAAAATAAATAAATAATAAAAATAAATAAATAATAAAAAATAAATAAAAGCTGAGAACACCAAAATTTTCCAATTGAGCTGAATAACATAATTACATAAAAGAAGGGACAGCATATATTTCTGTTTTCTGTATTATGCTGAGCTAGAAGGAAAGTGTCCATGTCAGAGAAGAAATTAACACCAAAAGTTTACATTTCTTTTCTAGGAAAAAATTACATATTTTTTTTTTGGGTCCGGTCGTGGGGCCTGAACTCTGGGCCTGGGCACTGTCCCTCAGCTCTTCAGCTCAAGGCTAGTGCTCTACCACTTGAGCCACAGCGCCACTTCCGGCTTTTTTCTTTTTGCTTATGTGGTGCTGAGGAATCGAACCCAGGGCCTCAAGCATGCAAGGCAAGCGCTCTACCACTGAGCCACCTTCTCAGCCCAATAATTACATATTTATAACAAGCTATGTGTGCAGTAATTTGTTTTACTTACTTCAGTAAGTCACATCAGTCATTTCAACTATTCAAGTTTTAAATCACAGGTATGCAATACTCATCTCCAGTAATGGAGAAATGTAGAGAAATATGCCAGACACATAAACTTATCACATCTCTGTACAATGCCATGAAAAGTACTGCTCTGCTATTAGGTCCATAAATCTAAACCTTTAACCATGTGCTTTCAAAGCCCCTCTTAGTCATATCATTCCCATTTGATTGCTCTCATCTCCATTAATGATCACTTGCAAATGGACCAACAGATCAGGGGATCTGCAATTCCTATGCACTATAGATGGTATGCTTGAGGTTTTGAACTTATATTGTCAACTCGTTCCTTGAATGGTCTCCGTATTTGGCACTGTGATGTGACGATGGATCCCTTAATTTCAGTTGTCCAACCTTGCCCCTCTAAGTGATGACAGTAGGAGGTGAAGGCTTTGAGAGGTGATTAGATCACAAAGGTGGAACCTTCATGGATGGGATTAGTGGCCTGCAAAAAGATGAAGAGCCAGTCCTTGCCCTTGTTCTGCGTGAAGAAATGGGGAGAATATAGATCTCTATAGGGACCTGGACCCTTGGCAGACAATACAAGTACTGCAGCTTTAACCTGGGATTTCCAGCCTGCAGACAGGGAGAAATAAGTTTGTTTCTGATAAAGTCTCCTTGTGTCTGGCAGCCCAAATGTACAAAAACACTAGTCAGCCAAGTTCTGCCTTATTTCTGTATTTGTTCCACTCTACTCGTATTATTGTGGATTTTGTTTTGTTTTTTGGTATTAGGGTTTGAACTCAGGGCTTTTCACTTGCTAGGCAAGTGCTCTGTCCCTTGAGTCACACCTCTAGTTCTTACAATCTAATTCTCTCTCTCTTTATCTCCGTCTTTTAAAGAAGTATATTGTGTCTAAATATAGGAAGATTACTACTTCTCATCTAAAAATATCTTAATCATCAAACACATTATGAAATGATAATGACCTAGGTCACTGTGCTTTTGATAATCTAATTCTGACTCATTGTCAGCCAGATTTCTGAACTCTAACTTCTTTGCCTGAGAGCTTCTAGAGTTGCTAGATACAACTGAAGGAAATACTAGGGTTTTAATAACCAACAATCAGCCTCTCAGAAATGGCTGATAACATTTGCGAGTCAGTATTCCAACGCCCTGGCTTTTGATATTCATTTACAAACATCTGGAGTTGTTCCTGGCTATCTCCCAAAGCCCTTCTCTCCATTGGGCCTCTGAAGTCCCGAGATAAATGGTTGAATAGTTAACCTATTGTCTTCCTATCATCTTCTCTTTCTCACTACACTCCTCTAGTCTTGTGTCCCAGGCTTGTTTATCAAAGAAACTAGTTCCCCTTGAATCCTTGTTTGAAGACTTTCTTCTTTGAGGGACTCAGAACAAGATGGGGGTTATTGTACTCAAACAAAGGGAAAGAGGTCTGTGAAAATGCATGGATGTGAACAGACAAGTAGTTTTTAATGAAAAAAAAGTTAATTTGATGGCTAATATGAGAAGCTATGTGAAATACTCCATTTCAAGTGACTTTATCCAGCTGAAGGCCTTCTAATGCCAGGTATGATGGTTAGTTTTAGTAATCAATGTGAATGGGCCACAAAATGACCCTACATTTTTGTGTGTGTTTCTGTGAGGTATTTCTGGAAGAGATTAACATGTGAACAGGAAGACCTAATAAACAGATTACCTTTCTCACTGTGACTAAGGATTAGGCACGAAAGAGAAGACCTGGATAAAACAGAAAGGCTGAGCCTCCCAATATGAATGTGGAGCCTTCTGCTTAAATGCTCTCATGCATATATATATATATATATATATATATATATATATATATATATATTGGTTTGTTTGTTTGTTTGTTTCTAACTTTGAATTCAGACTTAAATATTGGTTCTTTCTGGGTCTCAAGCTTGCAAATATTCAGAATGGAACTATATGATTGGTTCTATTAGTCTTAGATTTGACCTGAACCGTGAGTTCTTTCCCAGATCTCTACCTTGCCTGAAGATTATAGGACTTGTCAGTCTCCATCATTTCATGAGCAATTCTTTATAATAAATGATTTTCCATATATAAGTATATATGTGTTCATGTTTTTGTATGTATATTCTGAAAAAATATTAACTAGAACTAGCCAAAAGAAAGAAAATCCTCATTAATATCCCTTGTTGAAGTACTAAACCTATTCAGGAAAATTAAAGCAAGTAAACAACTTTAGGCAGAGAAGTCAGACACAATGTTAAAAAAAAAAATCATTTAGCCAGGTACCAGTGATTTACACCTGTCCTAGCTACTTAGAAGGCTGAGATCTGAGGATTATGGCTCAAAAGCAGCCTAGGGAAGAAAATCGGTAAGGTATTTATCTCTAATCACAGAAAAATCTGGAAGTAGCTCAAGAGGTAGAGTGCCACTCTTAAGCTAAAGGAGTCCTGGCACAGTGCCCAAGCCCAGAGTTCAAGCTCCAGGACCAGAAAACAAACAAACAAACATTTTTTATGAGAAGAATTAACTGAGAATTTATACATGCCTTCATATTTTGGTATTATGTGTATTAGAACCAACAAAGTATTTTTGGTCCGTAAAGCACCTAACATGCCATTTCATGTGAATCAACTCCACTGTAATTCAACAGTACAGTATTCTATATAATGTACTTGAATCATATTTATGTGACCTATTTCTACACAGTTTTTTTTTTCCTTATCAAAATGAGTAACCCAAGGGTTCCTGATATGGCCTAGTGGTAGAGTGCTTGCCTAGCATGCATGAAGCCCTGGGTTCAATACTTTGGTACTATATAAACAGAGAAAGCTGTAAGTGGCACTTTTGCTAGCCTTGAGCAAAAGCAACTCAGGGACAGTGCCCAGGCCTTGAGTTCAAGTCCCAGGACTGGTAAAAACAACAACAACAATAAAAATTTAAAAAAAAAATCAGGAACCCCAAAGACAACATATAAAAACAGATGATGGTCTATGGAAATAGAAGATGACAATTACGACATTCAAAATTTGGAAGTGGCTGAGACTGATAGAGCACTGGCATGGGGCTGGCTGCTACCCTTAAACAGTTCTTTAAGCATCATATTCTGAGAGGACAACAATGGAACCAAAGGTTTCTAGTCAAAGTGATATAAATACCATTTCAAAATAGTGAGTGTTGGGGCTGGGAAGGTGGCTCAGTGGTAGAGCACTTGCCTTGCATGCATGAGGCCCTGGGTTCAATTCCTCAGCACCACATAAGCAAAAAGAAAAAAGCCAGAAGTGGCACTGTGGCTCAAGTGGTAGAGCACTAGCCTTGAACTGAAGAGCTGAGGGACAGCGCCCAGGCCCAGAGTTCAGGCCCCACGACCGGACCAAAAAAAGAAAAAAATAGTGAGTGTTGTATCAGGTTTTATAATTCTGGGTGTTAAGGAATGAGCATGCTAGGGGAAAAAATCCCTTTCTCTTCTGGTTGTAGACCACCCACAGGCTAAAAATACATTTCTCCTTAAAGGAAGAGACTTTTCGATATTAATTTCATAAAAGGTGTTGTTTTATTCACCACATCCCTCTCTGTCAGAACATTCTGTTATGTTCTAGATAAAATTTACAAATATGTTCTGAGTTTGATTAAAAAAATTATGTGAAAACCAACGAGTTGCTCCTGAGAAATCAATTTAGGGCAATTCTATAAGGAAATTTCTGAATTGGAGATCTATAATATCTATTTCACTTTCTTCTGTGGAAGACATAGTTAATATGATTTTTGGTCTAAATCATTATAACTATCTTCTGAGAAGCATCTTGTTTCCCAATAATGAACAGGCCACACTCAGAAATCAGACATTCTAGGCTTTGGAATGACTTGAGATCTGGCTTATTCCCTTCCCTTGTACTATTGTAATTAATACAATATTTGGGGAAAGTCAAATAACAAAAACACACAAAATCCCTCTAAACAGAAGAGTTTGCTGGTGGGGTAGATCAGGCCTATATATAATCTCAGGGTCTTCAGATCAATATTTTTAGTTCAAGGCCATCCTGGACAATAAGTTAGTAAGATTCTATCTTAGCCAAAATAAGTCAGATGTAGTGGTCCATGTCTACAATCCAAGCTACACCACAGGTATAGGAGGAGGATTATGGTGCAAGGCTGGCCCTAGGCAAAAACCAGCAAGACCACAAAAAAGGCTGGAAAAATGATCTACAGTAAGCAACAGAGCACCTGCCTAATAATCACAGGCCCTGATTTCAAATCTTAGTATTGGTGAAAAATTAAAATGCAGCAGAAGTTCTCAAAGTGTGGTTTCTAGATCAACAGCACCATTATCATTTGAAAACATGAGAAACTCAACTTCTCAGGTGCTATTCAAGATGTGTGGAGCCCAAAGCTTTGGAGAGGAAGTCTGTTTTTGATCGGCCCAACAGTCAATGGGAATGCACACTAAAGACTTACAACTTTAGGACCACTGGTTT